TTTGTTTCCATTTTCTTTTTAAAGCAAAATAAAATACAATTGGCTACCTGTTTCTGCCTTCCCAGCACCCCGGTTACAGACACTCTTGACAGCACCTGCCTTTTGTATGCATTCCAGAGATTCCCAACGCACCCCTCATGCTTGTGGACCAAACAGGTTACTCACTATATCATCTTTGCTCCATCTCCCTCCTACCCATCCCTGCCTGGGCAATAAAAGGTATCACACTGTCCCTCATGTTTGTCACAGTGTCACACTAAGGGATCTAAATTCATGTTCTGATTACCCCCGTTTGGTATAAAGTATATTTAGCTCAGTTAAATTTCTTAAAATGTGTGAGAAGGATTCAGGAACAATCTAAACATTTCCCTTATGGAATCTTCAACTTCTATCTGCGTTAAGAAGCTGCAAGATGTGGTTCTCTGTCCTCATTTAGAGAATAAAACGATAGAGTGTGTGAGGAGATTCAGACCATGGGAATTTTCAAGAAGATAACTTTATTGCTGTACAGTTTCATTCGGTGTTTGTTGACTCACTGCATATCACGGTTCTGTGCAGCTTAATTCCTGCTCCATAAAGTTGGTAGGGTACTTGAGGGCAATTATTTCTCTTGCTTTTGATCTGCTTAGCTAATTTTAAATATTTGTTTATATTTATATGTTTGAGTGGGTTTTTTTTTGTATGTATGTATACCAAAGGTATGCCTGGTACCCAAAGAATAAAAAAGATTGTATCTTATCTTAGGAGACTGTCTGGAACTAAAGACCACTGTGAATTGTCAAGTGGATAATGAGAGCTGAACGCGGGTTTTCTGGATGAGCAGACAGTGCTCTTAACCACATAGCCATCTTGCTTTACTGATATTTATTGTTTCGAATGAAAGTAATTACCCACTCAGTTTGGTTATCCCCATTTCATTTAAAAAGAATTCTTTCATTTGGAATGAATCAAGACCAAAGTTTGGAGTGGGAAAGTATTTCCCTCAACATGGGTTTATTTATGCTGTATTTGGTAGAAATTCCTAAATTTTGCAGTAATTTGCTTTGATAATCAACTATTATGATATCAAGACCTTCTTTATTCTTCCTAAAAATAGAAGACAAAAGACAGTAGAACTATAAATTGTTACATCATCATTTCCTAGAATAAAACACAGATCCTTGATTCTTGGATTTCCAAGGGAAATTCATATTGTTTCGAGTTTCTGAAAACATCCCGAAGCTAACAACGCTGCCAATTCTGCTGGAAATGAGCCTTGAAGGAGGAAGCAAACAGAATGAGTTTGGGAGAAAGGGAGGTGTCATATCCAAAGGGAGCTAATTCCCTGGGTATGAGACAGTAGAAGCTTTAAGAGAGCCTATAAAGGAAAGAGGCCTGCATATGCAAAAACCATAGCCGCTGTACTGATAGGGCTTAAGGTGACTGCAGGTGGACCAAGGAAATCTGAACCCTGAAGTGAGTACATGGGAGCTACAAGCAAGATTTCTGTGTTTAATTTGGCAGAGAAAAAGAGACAGAGCACATTTTAAAAGGAAATAGAAGAGGGATGTAAAGTATCCTGAAAAGATTTTCTTTTTTTGCTAAGGAATTTTGGTCAGTCTGAACCTATCAATTAATGGGTTTAATGAGGAAGGTTTGATGACCTTCTAGAAATCAGCTTAAGAAAATGGAATATTTTAAAACTCTAATGATCTTTAGTTGTGCATTTATTCATAATAGCACATAGCATAGCATCTGATTATAGACAGAAAGAGGAAGTAAAGGTAGAGGGGGGAGAACAAGAGTCAGAAAAAAGAAGAGAGGAAACAGAAAGAAAAGGGAAGGTCTGGGAGTGGACATGATGTCTTGTTTCACAGTCTTATTTTCTCTTAAGGTCTGAGCATTATTGTATTTGTTCTCTCACTGTTTCTGCCTATTTTTCTGTCTGTCTCTGCCTCTGCCTCTCTCTTCTCTGTCTCCACCTCTCTCTGTATCTCTATCTCTATGTATCTCTCTGTCTTTGTGTATCTGCATTTCTCTGTTTCTGTCTCTCTCTGTCCCTCTCTCTCCCCCTCACCTCACCATACCCATACTCCTCTACAGATAGTAGAGGTAAATATCTTGGTGTTATTTTGAATAACAGCCTTCACTTTGCACATATACAAGATTTTATATACATAACATTTCTTTTGAGTCAAGTCAAAACACCTACAATACTAGAACTTAGGTGAAGGCAGAAGAATAAGAATTTCAAGGTTGTCCTAGGCTACATGGAAAATTTGAGACCTACTTGGTTTACATAAGACCCAGTTTCAAGTACCCTAACCCCACCAAAATTTATTTTTAAAATACTTTACAATAGATCTTTTTGTATTTTGATGTACCTGTTCCTGTTGTATTTTAATACTATAATAATAATAATAATAATAATAATAATGCCTTGTTGAGTTTCACAGGTATCATCCAGTGTTCCAAATATTCTGTGACTAACTTAAGGAAGTCTCACATTGGAATCTTATAAACCAGTTTCCAAGCAGGGCTGTGGTGGTACACGCCTTTAATCCCAGCACTCTTCTTGCTTTTCAAACTCACCTTAGTTCTAGAAAATTAGTATTTTACTTACATACAAACTAGTAAGATTACATAAGCTTTTTCTATACATCCTTAATTTTGCTTAATTCACCTTCTGGTCTTCCTTTTCTCCTGTGTCCTGTGCCCATCTCCACATAAATCTTTAGCTCACAGTACGCTCTTCTTTCATAATACATATTATACTATCAGCTCTTACTAAATGTTTTCCTGGTTTTTCAAGATCACGTACATTTCATTTTGGTTCAGCCTTCCCCTAGTCCCTCATTTCTTCATTCTCACTGCTCCGCTACCCACTAGAACCCTTCTTTCTCAGCATTGCCCCTCTTTACTTTCATTTCAGCTATATTCTAAAAATTTCTGCTTCCCAAAGTCATTCTTTTTCTGACTTATTTCTAGTTTCCTGGATTCCACATATACTCCAGGTTTAAAATAAATTGAAGCTAAGAATCCACATACAAAAAAGATACGGTTTTCATTTTTAGGGACCTGAGTCACCTTACTCAGTACTTTTATTTTTCCATTTCTATACTTTTTCTGCATAGTCAGTGAGTTTATATTTCTTTATAGTTGAATAATATTTCACTGTGTATGTGGGTTTGAGGCCTGCTTGGAAGGAGGAAATTCATGCCAGGTACTGTAAGCATGATCAAATCCCATGGTTATGGAATTCATTGGACCTAGGGGAGCACCTATTAAAGCTGTTTTTTCAAATGGCCATGTTGTCAAATTGTCTTCTAAATGTCTATGGCTACAGTAGTCAACCTGCGCTGCTCCTCACCTTGCTTACAGATGTCAGAATGAACGATCATGAGTGCTCAGCCGTGGGCAGGACCTCTGCATCAGCTCTTTCTTGCATATGTCTCAGGGAACATCATGGAAGATGGAGTGGAAAAAAAACCTAAGAGCCAGAGGAAGAGGAGAAAGGCTGCACCTTGCTGTCCTGGCCCCACGTGATGTTGCTGCTCTTTCAGTGAATTCTAGGCAGCTGTGCTAACCTTCACACGTCAAGTCAGTTAAACTTCTAGCACTACGTGGGGAAGAGCTCCTTAGGCCCCATTCCTACCTGAAGAGCATTGATAGTTAATTGGTGCAGAGGGAGAAAGAATCACTTTTCTTTATGGATTGGTCACTAATACATTAGGCATGTCTTGTTGATGATTCCAAACCCATGAGGCATATGGGAAGCACGAAATAGACGTAGTGGGTTTTTCTAAAGGAATTGTAAAAGGAGGACATAAATTGAGAGGGAGATGTAATGTGGGTCCTAGAATGTGTAGACATGGGAGACTGACGAATGGATACGACACACAGGTGAATACTTGAATACTATCCATAAATAGAACAAACGACGTTGGTACCTGGGCTATGCTGTAACACATGCTTAACAGTGTCCTACTGACCCCATGAGCCTTAAAGTGTACTAAGAACTCACCCTACCCTACACATTGACTTTTACTCATTCAAAAATAAAGCATTTGCTTTTGTTATAGTAAAGAGTAACTGACGGTTTATTCTACACGTGATAAGGCAGAGTGGGACATTGTCTGAGGGAAGGGAGGTAAAGAGTTGGTGGGCTGGAAGGAGAGAGCAGCAGGAGAGCGGTACAAATGAGAACAAACATAAATAGACATGAATTTGAGAAAAAACAAGGAAGGAGTACATGAGAATAGCTGAAGAAAGGAAAGGAGAAAAATGATGTAATTATATTTTAATTTAAACTAAAAAGAACTTATTAAAATATGTGAGCCTGGGGCTGGAAAGAAGCTGTGAGCTAGCCCTTGAGTAATCATTTAACTAATTACAATCGCAAAGAACCACAGCAGCATTTAGGAAACATACCCTATCTGGTTTACAGAAGTTGCAAGAACAATTTTTAGAAAGTACTTGACTTCTTGCTCCCAAGGACACCCACTGAGACCTGGACCTGCTGTTTCAAACAATGTCTGTGCACAGACTCAGCCCATCCTAACCCTCAGTACCTCTTCCATCAAGGAAGCAGAGCAGGAGCTGGCGAGCTGCCTGAGCCTTGTGCACTGAGGTTCAGAACATGTCTCCCGTGCACTGTGTGATGACAGTTTTTGAAGCACTTTCCTATTGATAGAGAACATGGGATAAATAAAGTATACTTTATTAAAAAAGGGATATTTTTGAAAATAAATATCTGCCTACATGTGAGGCCCTGAACGGTATTTCTTAGACTCTAGCAAAGTGCTGAATGAGTTCTATGCATAGTCACCAAGCATGAGGGATATCCATGGGTACCTTAAATGAAGTATGTATTTTCTAAGATGATCTTTTCAGTACTAAATGCTTGCTAAATGACACCTTAGATTCTGAGGTTGAGTAGTCAGAATAGTAGCTGTACACTTTCTGAATGCAGAAGCAGAAATAACTGTTGAATGTGGTCTAGAATGGAAGTCATGAGTCACCTGCACAGATGCTACTTTTTCCAAAGGGCTTTCTACTCGAGGAATGTTGATCATCGGCATCCGGGCCACACTGTCCCTGTGCATGTGCCCATTTTCTGGTTGTCTTCCTTTGAAATTATTTACCACGCACACAACCTAAAATTTCAGGAAACAATTGCCGTTAAGTAAGTCATGCATCCTGCAACTATCAACCTTCTGAGGAGTTTGATAACACTCCTTATAGCAACCAAGATTTAAAAGTACCTAAATGTTATATGAATAAAACTTTACATCCAGATTTACCATGAATAAATTTCAATAGTCATTTCAATTCAGATAGGTTCGAGAAAATTTACCGATGAATATGTATCAGAATGAATCATGACAATTCTGCTTTTCCAAAATGTTCATTCATGTATAGACACTATTCAATCCAATTCAAAATTAACACGATAACCTTATAAAAAATTAATAGCAAGCTAACCTCTCTGTAATGTGACTAACCTCCAACTTAATTTTCATGCTTATTATTTCTTACTGCGTCAAGATTATTACATTCACACTAATCCTTGACAGTTGGCACTCTCTAATTTAACAATATCCATTTAATTATACTGGTTTATTGTCTACTGTATCTCATATATATGTAAGATTTGAACAATAGCTTACCAGAGTGACTACTGAAACAGAAGACCCTTCACATAAAGGAAACTGACCCTCATTTTAACTGATTCTATTCCAGACGTGAAAGAATGTGAATCAAAGCATGCATGAAAATTAAGTTCTTGCAATGCTAAAAATATACATTCCTAATGCATCTCCTAAAGTTTCAGATGTAGTGGGTGAAAAATAGGGTATAGAAGACAGAACTTTTAAATGTATTCCAGAAGTTTCTGCATCAGGTGAATCATATTTAAGGAATAAAAATTTAAGCCACACAGGAAAATTATTTTTATGTTGACTTTATATTAACCACTGGGTAATGTGTTTTTTTCCCCTGGGATCTATATTCTAGAATAAATATGACTTAATTGTAGTTCCAACCTGATACTCATTCTAAATTACACAAATGCTATCTCTATAATGATATGTTTAAATTTATTTTTATAAATTCATCATTGGAAGATTTTTTGTTAAACCTATTAATTAATATTCACTTTGTTTCTAAAATTATTTAAAGATTTATTCTATTTTATGTGTATTAGTATGTTGCTTGCATACATGGATGTGTGTCATTTACATGTTTATTGCCAAATGAGGTCAGAAGAGGTCAGATGGCCTGAAACTAGAGCTGCAGGAGGTTGTGAGCCAACATTTGGGTGCTGGGAATAAAGCATAGGTCCTCTGCAAGAACAGCCAGTGCTCTTACCACTGAGCCATCTCTTCACCTACATTATTGCCAAGTAATTCTAAATACCAATTAAATCTTGGGTTATCCATTCTTGAATAAAATATATAAATGTGTGAAATAATAACATAAACTATAATACTTTATATCACAAATTATTTCTTTTCAAGCTGTAATTTACTTTAAAAAAAAAACCTTACTATGTCCTAGAAGAGCTATAGGTTAACAATATCAGACCCCCAAAAGTGCAATACCACAGCTTTGTGGTATTTATCTTTAAATAAGGGCTTGAAGGTTGTTATTCAGTATGCTTTTTCTCTTATGAAGTTGTCATTTTCATTATCCCACAAAAGACTAAAAGAAATTGATTGCTCAAGAAATAGAGTCAGAATATTTTCCCTAGGAAGGAAAGATATTAAATAATGTAGCAAATATTTTTGATGTTGTAGGCTCATAGTCAATGGCAACTACTCAACTCTTCCCTTTTGAAGGGAAAGCAGCAATTCCATTTGTTCAAAAGAGAAAAGACATGTTGACAGTCTGATAAACTTCCCTCACTAAAAGAGGCAGGAGGTCAAATTTGGTCTGAAGGCTGAAATTTGATAAATGAGCATTTTTCTAACACACAAAGAATAGATCTGATAATTTTAGGTAAAAACTTCAATGAAACAAAGAGTTTCATGTCCATATCATAGCACACACGCTTCCAGAAATCACTCTCCTCACGTTTATTCAGGCGAGAGCTCTTACTTCAACTCAGAACTCACTATACCCACTAGTCTATCTACACAGCCTGTCCAAAAGGTGGTTTTTCTCAGCATTCCATGTACTAGGATTACAGACATGCACATTGCTCTCCAAGCATTTTCATGGGTTCTGGAAGTCCTCACATATGTGCAACAAGTGCTTCTCGCTTTGCCATTGATGTCTCCCCTGAGCCCTTAGTTTGGCAAGCTCACTGTGTTTCAGAGTGTCTGCTTTCCTATGCTCATACAGAACTCTGAGTCTGTCTGTCAGAGCAGTAGACTCAGTATGAAATTTCACAGCGGGTAAAGAAGTATGTTGACTCATGTCTCTTCTAAGACACAAATTGGGAGTCCCATCTGAAGTTTGCTGCCTTTGTACCCCACCTGTCACAGTGAGTGGCATCATTCATGAATGACCACACTAATGAATGCACATGCATTCTGGCCACAGATTGTCAAATTGTATGGTCTATTATCTTTAATTAAAAATTAATTTCTGCCAGGTGGTGGTGGTGCACCCTTTAGTCCCAGTACTTGTGAGCCAGGCGGATCTCTGTGAATTCAAGGCCAGTCTGGTCTACAAGAGCTAGTTCCAGGAACAGGTCCCAAAGCTACAAAGAAACCCTGCCCCAAAAAAACAACAAAAAAGTTAATTTCCTTTCAAGCACTATGTTTTATATCAATGGCTTCCAGTCATTTAAGTTTATATTCTCCTAAAAAGATTACACTAATTAACCACCACCACACATATTTTTGGTTTCTCTATGTTGTATTAATAATAAATTTTTATGTATTCACTTTTTTCTTCCCATAATTATTATGTATGTACCTTGTGGAGTCAAACAGTATTAGCTCCTAATTTGGTTATCTGTTTTTAATTTGTAAAGTGAGGGCGATATATCTCAATAAAATGCTGCAGTGATTGTTACTCGTACATAAGATCATATGACAAGCTATTATTGGGATCAACAAAGCTGAACACTTCTGCTTAACAATTCCATCTATCATGTTCGGGAGAGGTGAGGTTTTTAAGTCATCCAATTTTTGTAACAATAATAATCAGCACCTGCTGCTCAAGAATTAGTTTTGTATTTTGCTAAGTGTGATGATTCTACTCTTTACCCTTGAGCAAAATGTACAGGGGTGCAGACAGATTTAGGACACAACACAATTCCTTGTAGGATTCTATCAGTACAGACTGATACATATAGAAGTCAAGGGGGAGATGAGAAGAAGGTAATGACAGGTACAGCCTAGAAAACGTGGGATGTGTCTGAGTCAAATCTTAGCAATGTAGAAGACTGGAATATCAGTGTAAGAGCTGGGCATGATAAGCAGTGAAACAAGGCCATGCTTACTACACGTGAAAATTCATTGAGTCTTTTAAAGAGCTCAGGGTAACAAATTAAACAGTTATTCTTTCATGCCGCCCACATACAAGACCATATTCCAGATACATGAAAAGATAAGCAGTGAACAAAACGAACAGAAATATTTCTCCACAATGGCTTATTTGCAAGAGAAATATGAAATGCGGTGTCTAGGAGTTGCAATGTGTTAGTGAGAAACACAAGAAAGGACTAAGGAGAGAAGATGTTCTGAACATGGTTTGGGGAAGGTTTCACTATATGATGAATAGTGAGCTGCGATTGATGTGTGCGGGGTCACATGCATGCAGTGGCAGGACTCAGATATCCCTGCTTCTCATTTGCAACTGAAATGCACAAAAAGAAGGGGCATTCCCCCAGAACAAATGTGTAGGAAGGGCAGGTTTGTTTTTGATAAGGGAAGGAGGCTGATTGTGATTTCATGAGCTGGTTTCATGTACACAGAGAAAAGTGCAGGATACTTTTCACTAGGAAATAAGCAATTGGAACATCGTTGACCCTGGAAGTGCAGTAGAATGACTGGAGTTGAGGCATCCGGGAAGGTTTGTTTTGCCTTGTTATTGACAATGCACTATTGCAATAATTGCAATATAGGCCAAGCCAGCAAGGTGTTGGTGTGGGGGATATCTGTAGGAGTACATGGGATAGGAAGCCCACAGTTCTGATTAGAAGGACTGATATAAGACACAGAAGGAATAATTGGGAAATGGAAATGAACTTGAAGTAGATGAGTCACTGCTTGTTGGGGATGAACTGGGAGAATGAGTCAGAGGTAAATGCTATGTGTAGATAAAGGGTGGTGAGCGGAGGTGTCTTTAGAACAAGACAGCAGCTTAGAGTAGACTGATTTAATTTTATGTTGGACTCATTTTAGAATCCTAAAACCCTGCAAGATAATTGCAGGACATTTGGAAACCAGAGTTGGAGTGGCTGCACAAAATTCAAAATAAATGCCCTACTGAGTTATCCAAATAAGGGATCTGAGAGTCATCCTGACTTGTTTCCTGTCCCTCATCCACATCATCTTGTGTTCCCTCAGGCTCTCTTTCTTCCCTTTCTCTTCCAAAGATTGTCTCTTCTTTCTGTGTCTCTATGGCTCAGTTTAGACTCTGATTTCCCTGGTTCTTCATAACATGTCTCCTCCATCTTCACCTGCAGTGTTATGCTAGAGCATATTTTTAAAGCACAGATCTCAAATGGCAAAAGCTAGTGAGCGGAAGCAAACTACCACTTATGGAATTGTGCTTTACTCATTTCCATGGCCGTTCACTAAGCATGTACTACTTTGCTTGACCTTCTGTAAGTTCAAGAATGAGCCTCCTGGGAGGTTGTGATTGTTCTCATATACAGAAGGATACAGGAGCACAGAAAGGTTCAATAAAGTACTTGAAGGGACAATTGAGTACATAAAGAAACTTGGACTCAAACAAGTCCATTCGATTTCTACTCTTTTGAAGGCAGGGCATACTAACTCCCCTACAGTTTAAACAAAAGTCCACATTATTCTTTTGGCACACAAAACTTTTCCATGCCTCTAACCTTCATGATGGGAGACTAGTATCATTCCAGGAAGCTGTGCTTTCTCATTCATAAGCTGTTTCCTGGGCCTGTGGTATAGGAAGAGTTCCATGCCTACTGTCCTTATACAGGCTTTCATGTTGTCTATGTGGCCCGTGTTTTGTTCTCATTCCTTGTGCAGAATCCAGACTTATCCTCTTTCTAACCTCCTCCAGTTGATATATCACTTTTTTTTTTTTTTTTTTTTTTTGCTTTCTTGAGACAGGGTTTCTCTGTGGCTTTGGAGCCTGTCCTGGAACTAGCTCTTGTAGACCAGGCTGGTCTCAAACTCACAGAGATCCGCCTGCCTCTGACTCCCAAGTGCTGGGATTAAAGGCGTGTGCTACCACTGCCCGGCCAATATATCACTTCTTCCTGACAGGTCTGTCACCCCAATAAAGTTAATATTTCCAGTACCTATCAATAAATTGTATGTAATCCTCTATAAAGTGTAATGTCTGTTTTCTTATTTGGATTGTAACATATTTAATATCTGAGATGTCTCTCGTTTTGTTCTCAAATATTTCTTCACATCACCAAGGTCAGCACTTGTATTGGAGTAGGGACTTGGTAGCATTTTATTTTACGGTGGAAGATGGGGAAGGGGAATTTAAGGGACCAGGCTAATCCCCAAACAAAACTCTAGCTCATGGTGGAATCTAGCTATACTCCCATGAGCTTCCTTGACTTACCAGTTTTCGCCTATAGGCACTCACATTCATAAGTGATCATTAATGAGAACACGATTCATCTTTAGCTACATGATTGAAGCACCGTTTTGGTGTGACCCTTTCATGGAGTCATTTTTCTCATGTGTAATAATATTTAAAGAGTGATTTCAGAATGTGTGTAATATACATTCTTGGATTGAATATGCACAATAGAGTGGCTTGAGCTCAGGGAGATGTACAGGCTAGCTCTTCATTTTTCTAGTTCTCAGTTAGGGATATGTCTAACATGACACTAGCGTCTGGTTTTAAAGGATGGCCAGACTAAGGCACTAAGATGCTCTCTGGAAGGGTAGGAGGATTGCAATGGCCAGGGGAAAAACAGTAGGAGGCTGATGAGGCGCCAGGGAAGATAATCTACACCAAGGGAGCTGAGTTCGGTGGCATCATAATTTCCATCACTTTTCTGTTTTGTTTTGTTTCTTTTAAATGTTAACCAGTCTCAACTGTGATGAGTGAAAGCAAGGAGAGTTTGGCCCTGAGTTTCATGAGGCATCAAGCGACTTCAAAGAGACAGGGTATTAAAGGGTAACTTCAGCCTGTCTGTTGCTATATTTGGATGATGAAATTTAGCCAAAAGAGTCTGCAAGACTCAACAGTAAGCAATCTGTAGCTTATCTAGGAGCACACCTGTAACCAAGCAACTGAATCTCAGCTATTCACTTCACCTCAATCTCTAGCCAATCAGAATCCATGAGCTGCCAGAATTTTTCCATAAAAGGCAAATGGTGACTGGGGTCCATCAGGTTATTTAGGATCTCTTCCTCTTCCACTGACTGTACCTGCACACCCAGTCTATGATAGGGAGAGACATGCTGACTGACAAACACATCACAGATTTAAAAAAAAAAAAAAAAAAAAAACCTTTCAATCCAGAGTCCTTCAATGACCTTGAGACTCACAGTGAATGGCATCACAAGAGGAAACAAAGGGTGGGGGGACGAAGCTCAGGATGCTGAGCAGACATGAGATCATGCCCATTAATTTCCTACAGGAGGTTTTAGAAGAAACATTGCATTTCAAATTCCAGGCATGTAATTTGTACTCAAACCTCACACATGTTTTTTTATTGCCCACTGATTATTAACTGGACAAAGGAGGCTGAGGAAGGAAGAAGCAAGTATTGTGAGAATGAATCCAACTGAATTGAAATGGAAGTGTTTCTGAAGTTCTAAGGTGTCCCTGTAAAAGGGCCTTTGATTTATAAACTGTGCATGGGGTCACCTAAGTAGGACGGTAAAAGTCTCCACAAGTAACGGGCTGATGATTTTCAACTCAGGCTGAAAACTTTAATCGAACAAAATTATAGATTCATTCAAGTATATGCTTTAGCAGGCATATGGGTAGCCCTCCACTAAAAGGCTCTGACATTCTTCACTATGTGGAAGACATGACTGGGGATGCTAGTGTTCCCATCCCAATCTCAGTCCCCCAGGAGAAATGATGCATCTCACAATCCTATGCCATGTGAACACTGGAGGTGTGGATCTCATTAAGTGCCCAGACTGAAGAAGGCATGAGGCACTTGGGTCCAGGAGGATGTTTTCCTTCACTAGAGGCAAACTATCCTGAGGAATTTTGTGGATATAAAAACAATGCAGTCTACAATACTAACTGAGAAGGGACAGGTGAGATAGCTCAGTGGATAAAGGTACTTGGTGGCCTGAGTTTAACTTTCAGCCCTCACATGGTAGAATGAGAGAACTAACTCTCACGAGTTGTCTTTTGGATCTACACACACATGCCATGGCACATGCGTTACCTGCCCCATAAATACAAAATGTAAAATGCTATTTGAGGAGGAATGATTTTAGCTCTGCTCCATTTTATATAAAAGTATTTTAAGTGCAGAATTTATTTATTATTCTTCCCCAAACCTAATCTTAAGGAGAATAAATGCAAGAAAAAAGAAATGAGCAACCATAAACATATATATTTCACATAATGTATCACAATGATTCATCCTTGCATTTGCTTAGAAGTGATATTCAAGCTTTTTAAAAACAAAAAATATTTTTAAAAATCATACTTACCAGAAATACTGCTATAGATATCCCAACTAGAAAGCCCGCTATCACATCAGACCAATGATTTCGATATTCTGCTACTCTGTTGAGTCCAGTAAGAAAGGCCAAACACATTAATCCCAAGCATAGAACAGGCTTAGCAAGTCTGGTGCCTTTGGCTTTGATAGTGTTCGTAATGTACATCTGAAATAGCAAATAAAACAAGACTTTTCACAAAAGCGTTTTCTTGGTATACACATGAAATACATTATGTATATATTACAAAAATACAGTTAACAGCTATATATGACTGTGTAGTTTTAATCATTGACTAGAGTTTATGATTCTTGTAGTTTAAAAAAAATGGTTATTTTCTGTTAAGCTACTTAACCCAGGCTAGTTTCCAGCTCTCTACATAGCCAGAGTTGCCCTTGAATGTTAGCATTATAGGTGTGTGCTACCATACCTGTAATGAAGTTTGTGATGATGATTTCTTAAATGTGGAATTTAAGAGTGCCAATTATTTAGCTTTACTTATCCATCATGGCCATTTCTTTGTTTTTCACCAATTTTATTTTTTAACTGTTTTTATTGAGCTATATATATTTTTCTCCTCTCCCGTCCCTTTCTACCCTCTCCCATAGTCCCCATGCTCCAGATTTACTCAGGAGATCTTATCTTCTTTTCTACTATCCATGTAAATTAGATCCATACATATCTCTCTTAGGGTCCTCTTTGTTGTCTAGGTTCTCTGAGATTGTGATTTGTAGGTTGTCCATTTCTTACTAAAGACTTTTTTAAAAAGTGTGTTTGTGTGTCCACACGATTGCCAATGTGTCCAGATTGAAAAGAGCCCGTGGACCTGGAATTACAAGAAGTTGTAAACTGTGAGATATGGGTGCTGAGAATTAACTCAATTCCTCTGCAAGAGCAGTGTGTTCTTCACTGCCAAACCATCTCTTCATTCCTATAAGGACCAGTTCTTATGCCGTTTCATCAGTCATCTGGATTATGAGCACAGCCATTGCAAGTGTTCTCTTGCCCTCCACCCCACAAACATTTTAACACTTTTGTTTCACCTGAATTTATACATTAGATAACTCACAATATTACTGTTACAAGAGGTAAATTGATGATGTATTGGTGTTTTCGTTTGTATATTTTGTATGGATAGGATTTATCCTTGGTCAAATCAAAATTAAATATAGCTAGAAAAATTAAATGGAGATTTCTGGAAAATTGATGTGACTGTGAAGATGGTAGTCCAGACAATGAAGAGCCAATGCTAGCTTTTATATTGTCATCTGGAAGCATGAGATAAAAGCCAATAAAGAACACAAGTTGTCAACTGGCTGTGCTGAAGGAAATATATCAAGGTTGTGAGCCATCATGCCCAGGAATAAGTTGGTTCTTCTCCCAATATCACTTATTCTATTGCTTCCTTGCTCATAACTTAAATCGCAATTCTACTAGCAAACCTGTTGACTTCAAGTGTATAGTGACAGTTCTCATGTCAACAATATGGAAAGTGTGAAAGAGGCAGGTTGGAAAGTACACCTAAGTGGTATAGTGTAAATATCAGTAAATATCTTGTACTGATAACACACTCAAGAAAATACGTATAGAATATACAATCTATATACTATATTCTATAATGTTAATTGTTATCTTGAATTAGAAAGAAATATATTTGCTTATGAGTGTAGACTAAAAGAGCTGTATCTAAGTTTTAGTTCATGATGACCATTTTAGAATACTATGAAATCCAGTAATTATCTTTTTTTCTTAAGACTTTATCTCATTAAATCTTTAAAATCCTATAAAGTGGATACCATTATTAACTTCATTATATAAATTTAAAAAGTGGATCAATATCAAGCTTATTGTAGACCATACACTTTATTTGGGGGTGGCACCATTGGCGAAGAAGAAATAAAACTTTTTTTTTTGGGGGGGGGGGTTCAAGAAAGGGTTTCTCTGTAGCTTTGAAGCCTGTCTTGGAACTAGCTTGTAGACCAGGCTGGCCTCGAACTCATCGAGATCCACCTGCCTCCGCCTCCCAAATACTGGGATTAAAGGCGTGTGCCACCACCGCCTGGCGAAGAAATGGAACCTTAAACAAAGAACTTTAGGCACTTCCTGATCATAAGGGCTTTAGCAGGTCTTCCTTGCAGTTTTTTTCTCCTCTGAGTTCCTCTGGGGAGAAAATGGCCAAAAGACTTACACAAAGATTCAGAAAATGCAAGAAAGCTGGAAGCAAACGTGAACGAACGATGCCACCATAGCATTCTAAGAATAACAAAATAGCCTGCCCCATCATTAGAGATGGAGAATATGAAGTACAAAATCCATACAGATTCTCCATGGACTTGATAAATACTTGCCATCATCCCCAAGGGACAACTCAGTTACCACTTAACTCTTTACTTGGTCATTTCAGTTGGTCCAGATAAATTATTGACTTAGGCTAGAGATGTTTCAAGTTTAGTGATGACTCTTCCCTGAATTACCCTACTTACTCAAGAAGGCTCACAAGAAGCCCCAAACAGTCTCTCCAGTATGCGAACTAATGAAAACATGCTTCTATTAGAAAGAATTCAAGCTTGTTTTTTGTTTCTTCTATTACACCCATGGCTAATGTCCAAACCTCGAATGGAGTGTGAGAGGCCACAAGATTGTGGAGCTATGAGAATTACAAAAGTTATCCAGAATTTTATAAGCCATAAATATAGCATTAAGGTTGATCATAGCAATGCTTTATAAAGTACACATGTTCTTGAAGTATAATCACCACAAATATAACGAAAGACAAACTAGAGAATTTTTTATTTGAACGTGGAAACTCTCTAGTACTTTATGACAAGAGCCTTTTAAACAGTCTATTTGTTTTATCCTTGCAGAAAGTCTATTAAAGCTAATCTGCAGAAGGGGAAATAATAGCATAATGATCTACTAAGGAAGCTAGATACAGAACAGTAATTGATTACTTATGCTTTCTTGGTTTCTAATTCACTTATGAAACCATCTAGGATAACCAGATGTCAAAATGTAGCTAAAATAAACACAAACAGGAGGTGGGGTGATTTGAGCAGAATTGTGTTCCCTCTATCGTCAAGGGTCTGTGCATGCTAACAAGCTTACAGCCAACTCATTTAGCTGTGTTATCCATCCTCATTCACCCATTCCATGCAAGATGATGCAGAATGCCAAAACTTATCATTTGATTCCTGCTAAGATCCTACTATACATTATCTCATGTTACTCATGTTTATTTAAATACATGCAATATTTAATACACGAAGGGCTTTGATAACTGGTTCACTTTTACTAAAGGGTAACTACAATGTCCTATTATTCTGTACTATGGGTTGTCTCACTTGTTATAGTAAACACCAATCATTTAGTCGTTACAAAATATAATACTTGTAAAAGAACCCTATTATAGCCAATATACTTAATTTTAATCACCTACTATGTACCAAAGGCTGTATTTAACTTCTCCAATGAGGAAATATCCAAGGTTTGATCCTGAAGGATGAGAATGGTTGTCCATGCCAGCAGAAACTGAACTAGCCTAGATGTAGGAGATAACCTGGGTAATCCAGCCATGTGCTTTCAAAGTATTTTGCTCATTTTCCTGGAACTCTTGCCATGGTGACAGGTTCTCATATGTTTTATTTGTTTCCCTCACTATAGGGGAGACATAGAAATGAAGCCTGGTCCTTCACTGTAAACTCTGTGCTTGGCACTTGGCCTGACTTTTAGAGAACTGTTAAGAAAACGAGACTTAATAAAGAGAAGATTGAGTGAGGGATAGCCTCGAGGGAGAGCACAGAGTATTTGTGACATTTGTCACTTTGTAGAACAATGTATATACTGCCATGCTTCTCTCTTTTATAATATTCTGTTAGACTAGAACCTTTGTCCATTCACTGCTCTATCTGAAATGCTTAGAAGCTTTTTCACACAGTAGGCATTCAAAACTTACCGCATGATGGAAGCATGAAAGACATTGTTGGGCAAAGGTGGAATTTTGAACTTGTATTACCTGAAATCGCTACTTGAAATTATCTTGAATATATATGTGTTTACTAACTTACTGTCTCTCTTTTTTTATTGTCATGTATTTCCAGGGGCAAAATCTGCAATGGGTGACTACTAACTGTGATAAGAAGACTATGAGCCCCAAACAGACATCTATGAATCTTCAGTTCCCTGTTATTTCTTGTGACTATGGTTCCCACTCACATGAGACTTTGGTGAAGCCATGGGTGGAAGGAACACAGATATGCTCTAATAAGGCTAGGAAATGTGAAGGGTTAATTTGCCACAAGTATGTCCTCAAGGTTGGGCCACAAGATGACAAGTTCATTTTAGCCCAGTGATACCCATATTTGACTTCTGAGCTAATACACTTGCATTGTTCCAACTCACTGTGTTTGTGGTATTTTCTGTGTCCAGTAGAAAACAACTATACTATAGTGTCTCTTTAATGTATTAATTAATACTAAGATTTGTAGCAACGTTCCATGGAGTGAAGTAAATATGTTGTAGTGATCAAAGCATCCACATTGGAACCAGAAAAAAAAAATGTGTTGGAGTTCCATCTCTGACACTTGCATATGACAAGTCATGATGGTTTGAACAAAAATGGCCCCTATGGCTCATATATTTGAATGGTTGGTACCCAGTTAGTAAAATTGTTGGGGAAACATCAGGAGGTGTAGTCTTGTTGGAGGCAATGTGTCAGTGGGAGGAGGTGATGAAGGTTTCAAAAGCCCATGCCATCCCCAGTTAGCTTTCTCTGCCTCATGCTTGTGGATCAAGATTCAAACTCTTAACCCCTGCTCCAGCATCAACCCTGCCTGTCTGCTGGCATGCACTCAGCCATGATGATCCTGGACTCTAAACATATAAAACTGTACATCACAAATAAACTCCTTCTTCTATAAGCTGCCTTGGCTCTGGTGTCTTATCACAGAGACAGAAAAGTAATGAGACACAAGTTTAAGCATGTCTGCTTACCAAACATAAATGAAAATAAAGATATTGCCCCCATGTGTGATAAGGATTTATTACAATAACATGGTTAAAGTGCATAGCACAGTACTTTGTCTGTAGTAAAGCCTAAATAACTGTAGCAGTTAAGTTGAAGCAAGAACGGGAAACATGGTACAATCAGGACCACAATTTTGAAGTGGTGT